CCCTTAGGCCGCGTTCATACACAGCGCCTCTGCGGAATTTCCAAATCGATACGTATACTTTGCTTGCTCTGAAAATTCCGCAGAGGCCACGGATGCCGCGGATGCCGTCTGTATGAACGCGGCCTTAGCATTGGATGCGGAAATGCAACCCAAGTACGAACATGCAGTGTTTGCCATAATAAAGAAACAACCTACCCCTTTGCAATATTGTCCTCCTATTGTTTTCTGACCAGCGTCCAGAGTAGTTTGCTTCGTGTCGTGCCCATCAATAGAAATGCGCGGTTTCTTCTTGGTAGACAGCTTGGACTCCAAGTCGAATATCGGCGTTCGTGGACTCAGTGAGGATTTCTTCGGTAGCGGGGAAGAGAAGAAATCAGTTACTCTCTTCTGCTTCTGCATTATGCTTGGAGTCATCGAAAAATCCTTGAAAAAGTGTAACTTTCACTTTCTACGAACAAAAAAGGCAATACCCTTCGCCAAATCTCACCTAACGAGAAACAGTATCACTGTACTGGTAAGTTTATTGCTTCACGACATAGATGTCTCTCCTGAAACATCAAAAACGACACTGCCACAGAAGGAAAAATTCAAGGAAGACGAAGAATACGGGCAAGTTTCCGATCACTTCGAAGACTCAGACATACTGAAGGCAACGGGAATCCGCAAAGAAGGCCTTACTCCACTCTAGCAACCCCCTCCCCCATTTAAAAGGTATTTTCATCGCGATTCATGTGTCGTAGTTTCGCGAGCCTGATCACGTATGCGACAATCATTTCCGTAATCAGCACCATTTCGCTTGAAGCAGTCACGAAATTTATTACAAGCCCACGCGCTTGTTTTCAAAGACTTGGAGAATCATACTAAACAGGGCATCGAATTACCTCTGCAAAAGGGATCGCTAGAACCAGAACGACGAAAACCCGAAGTCTCGTACAACAAGGCATGGCCTACGCAAAAAAAAACACAAATCCTTTAACTACAAATACATAATAGAAGAAGAATCGAATAATTTAAATTCTTCTACTTCCCGCCTCTTACCATTTTTGAGAAATCTAGCACATTTTCTCTGCGTCCTCTCCAAACGCTGCAGCGGGGCAGAAGAGTACGAAGGTTTGTGAGAGACTCCAGGCAACCAAGAGAATCAGCCCCAAAAGTACGTTCAAACTGGCTAGTTGTCTCGTTTGGTGCAAGATTGCGATTAGAGCGAGGGCTTGCGAACCAGTTCCCTTTGCTAGTCGTTGCCTTTTTACGATCTCTTCACGAGCTGTTCTACTACTGTATATACAAGCTGTTTTGATTAAAATGTCGAAAGCTGACCTTGAGCAGAGAGGTTGGTGGCCATTCATTTTATTTAGTTGACAGTTATGTTTATTGAACATTTTCTTTTCAAGCTTTTGCTAAAATACCAGAGTACATGTTGGAGCAGAACAGGCCTTACAGTGCCGTTGATGTGTTCACGAATCTCAGGCAGGAGTTCGGGAAAACGGTACGTTGCCATTTTTGTTCACGATGGTTGCCTAGTTTTTATATTTAAAAGATTCGAGTTTCAGTTAGTTCTGAAAGTCCTAGAATCATCGGTTTCTTCTGGTGTTCTGAAAGACAAAGTGATAGGAAAGCAGAAAATCTTTTATGCGAATCAAGTACGTTTTGCTTAGTATTGGTGAAATCGACTTTCTCTTCGTTTACAAAAGTGTTTTCTTTTGCTTTTTATCTAGTGTTTCGGTACACAGACTAGTTTTGGCAAACTTTCTGAAGTGAGTTGAGCAGTGATGTGAATGAGTGCCCAAGCAGAGCATATTACTCTCTAGTTCGCTGCGGACGGTTGGGTGTGTCAGCCAGTGGCTGCGTTTATACTTTGCGGCAGCGTAGCGCTTCCAGCGTACGCCAGCGGCAGTGTCGGGGAAAGGATAGATATCGATCTAGCGTTATCATGGGACAGCTAGCGGCACGGTCAGCGGCACAGCTGGCGTAGGCGAAGGGCTACGGGACAGCATTAGCTATCGATCTAGCTTCAGCACGAGACAGGTTTCTCCAGCGTTTTCAGCAGCTGGGAATCGTAGTGGATGAGCGTACAAAATATACATGCTTGGCCATCGGACCTTCATACATCTGCATAGCCCTCTACCTAGCCGATCGGATCAGGTCGTTGCAGAGCGGCTGGGAAAACGCTGGAGAAACGCTGTCGAAGCTAATATCGAATAGATCTTATGCTATGCGCCTGTGCCCTTCGGCTACGCCTAGCGTGCGCATAGCGCTATGCGACTAGCGTAGCGCTGGGTGACGCTGGGAACCTGCTGTATCGGATATGCTATCAGCTTGTCCCCGACAGCTGCCTGCTGACCGTTACGCGTTGGAAGCGTTACGGGCTATTGCGGCTATGGGCTAGCGCTGCCGCAAAACTGCAAAAGTAACAAACGTAAGAACAGCCGTTATGAGTGTGGCAAGCTGAAATCAAGGCCGTTCGTCTGCTTTCTTGAGCTGGGAAACGGCATGCATGCGACAAAAGTGGTAGAAAACGAGTAATACGAAGGATATGATACAGTATTGTCACTTGCCCGCTTCAACAACTGGTGGAGAACGAGTTTGGCACCGCGCCAAACGCAGCCGCACTGACACGCCCAACCGTCCGCAGCGAACTACACTATAAATACTTTTCTGTGGGGACTCTTCTAAGCTCGATGTGAGTAGCACCTGTCTCTCCAAGGAATTAGCGCCTGTGCCCAAGGGTCGATGAAATGGTGTCGAAGTTGTGGTGAAAGAGTGAGAGTCCAGAGGAAGGTCGTTGTTGTCGCAGAACAACATCTTTAAAATACTCATAACTAACATAAGAGCATCTATTAAAAGTGAAGAAGAAGGAGAAGGAAAAAGGAGTAGAAACAAGACAAATGAAGAAATAGCGATCGAAAGAAAGAAGGAAGTAAAGAAATGCATTGCAGCAGAGCTTCTCTGAAAAAGAAATTATTTGGTGGTATTCTTGCAGGACAAACTTGAGAAGTACGATGAAGCTGCTATCGCTGAGTGTGATTCAAAAATAAACTCGCTTTCCGAGAAAGTAAAAAGCTTGGCTGCAAACAACAAGGAGATTCAAAATGGTGAGTTTGATTGGGTTCCTATCACTTTGAACTTCAAAGTTCTGTCTTTCAGAGTTGAGGGACCTAAGCAACGTTGAAACAACGTCGGAGCTGCGGACGATAACCACCGAACTGAAGAAAAATGTATGTTCCGATTGGGATTTCGATCGGTTCCTTTATTTTTGTCTTTTTAGATTGAAAAAATGAAAGCTCGAATAGCCAAATTGGAAACCTCGAGGGATCCATCAACGGCTGAAGACGGTAAAAGAGCGCTTCAAATGGAGCAGGCAATTTCTAAAGCAGTGCAGAAACGGAAACGTCTTGTGAGTATGAGAGTGAAACCTTTGACTGTTTCAATGTTCTTCCAAAGTTCGTGTAAGACTGAATATTTCAGGCCACCGACATGCTCAATGCTATAATGGAGAGTTCGCCACTTCCCAAGCGTGAACTTCTGGTGGGTAATTATACTCGTTCTCAAAAAGTTATCCAAATATGCCACTCTTTATAGGATGCTATGGGTGTTGAACTAGATTGAACTATGCGGTCTCCTTTTCTGTAAATACTATTTGGTTATCTTGTAGGTAAAGTTCGTTGTTCACCGGTGTGCTATGCTTTACAATGCATTGTTAACTGTTATTGTTATGTAAATAAATAAAAAAGGATTTGTGAATGTTGTGAAATAAATGATTGCAATAGCTGCTTCGTTTTTCTTCTATTGCGATTTGCCGCTGTTTTCTTCCGATAGCCACCCACTTGAGTTACAGATACCTCTTCAGATGGACACCGAAGGAGGCTTTCACAGCGTTTCTAGTAGTACATATAGAGAGCTCTCCGAAGAGGAGAAAGAGAAGTTACAAGAGCAGGTATACGGTTTTCAAAATGCAAAAATTAGTTCCTTTTTCATGTTACATTCTGTCCAGGATGTTGTGAGCGCTTTCAAGCAAAGAAAGTTAGAAGCAGAAGCCCAGAAGAATTGGGACAAGTTTTACCACCGGAATCGGGAAAACTTTTTCAAAGATCGAAACTGGAGTAGCCAGGATTTGCAGGAGATTTGCCACGACATGGATCTCAAGGTTTTTCTAGTCATTGTTGTTTTCATAGAGATTTGAAATGGTTCAGCTATTTTCGAAATCCACTAATTGTTCCTATACTGCTAGGGGCCCATCGTCTTTCTAGAGGCTGGTTGTGGTGTTGGGAACATGCTGTTCCCTCTTAAAACAGCCTTTCCAAATTTCCATCTTCAAGCATTCGATTTTTCACCACGTGCGGTTCAGATGTGCTCAGAGAGAGCAAAACAGTTAGGTGTGAGTAATTCAGATTGAGCTGCTAGGCTCTTTTGAATTGAACTCTGAGAAGTTCATCTTCATGTACGTTCTATTCCAGATAGAACTAGAGACGTCGATTGTTGATCTTTCTATACCTTCGGACAAGTCTGATTTCGAAAAGCACGCTGATATTGCTACCCTTATATTTGTACTTTCGGCCATCCATCCTGATAAGCATGGAGACGCAGTGAGAAATATGCGAAAGTATGTAAGAGTGAGTTTCTTGTCAAACCTGCTCACAGTTTTTTTGGTTTGCTTTCATATTTTTGAATGAATTAACTCCACATTCCATAATTGCTGAATATAGATTATTGAGAGTATCGAACTATCCCTGAGCCTCATGTCTTGTAGGATCTTCTTCAACAAAGTGTTATTGAGGACTCGCTCATGCAACATCTATTGGTTAGCTTTCGCTGTAACAGCTTCTTCAAACTTTAATTACAGTCAAACATGCGCCAGTCAACACAACATCAAGTTCATCGAAAGTACTAAGCAGGCCTGCCTACAATAACTCCACCAGGCTCTGTAATACAATATGTCTGAGACGTACAAATGTCAACAACACCACTAAAAACTGGTGGCAGTGAGGCTAATTGCTTAGCGGGAGCGATGATGAAGTCCTAGCAATCGTCACGTGCGTCTTTTTGAAGTAGTTCTAGTTGCGCTCGAGGTGTCACTGCGGTAGTCAGTCTTTTGTAGTAGTGTTGTTGATAATATGTCTCAGACACATGTATTAGGCTGCGTTTATACTTTGCGGCAGCGTAGCGCTTCCAGCGTTTCACAGCGTTCCGCTAGCAGCGTTTGCAGTGGCGGGAGAAAAGTAGGAGAGTACAGAATACTCTCCTACGCTAGAGAGTATAGATGAGTACCTCGCTTACGCTAGCGTACGCTGGTGACACTGGGAACGCTAGATCGATATCTATCCTTTCCCCGACACTACGCGGGCACGAGAAGCGCGCTATGCGCTGCCCCAAAGTAAAACGCAGCCGTACAGAACCGACTAATCCGTAAGCACCGGTTAGTACTTTCTATTGAAGATGTTGTACGACGATAGTACTGCGTATGTTTGATTGTATTTAAAGGCAAAACCTGCAATTATTCGCCATCTCAGATAGTGGATTAGGGGGTTTCCTATAGACGACAAGGGGTTGAGTAACTCGACAGTGAAGAAAAAAGCACAAAAACATGCCACCTGCCCTAGATAGAACCCCATTTTGATCCCAGTTTGTACGGCCAATTAACTCTATCTCCCACACTACGCCCTCATACGCACAGCTGATTCACCGATAAGAATGTACAAGTGACGATTTTCATGCTTTTTCGTCCTGCAATCTCGTTTTTCACTGAAAGCCGGGCATTGGAGGCGGAGTCTGGAGGCGGAGTCACTGGCGGAACCACTGAACCTATATTGCGCTATAGCGCCCCTCCCTTAGAATTTTTTGCCGCGAAACCGGTACAAGGTTGTTTGTCGCGGACCACTCTAACCTCCTGACGCCATACTTTCAACTTCGATATCTGATCTCGAACCGTGCCTTTAAGGCTGAAGAAGCTGTTACACGCTAACCAGTAAAAGTTGCATGAACGAGTCCTCAGTAACACTGATGAAGAAGGTCCTGTAGATCCCTGAGGTAGCGTCGGTCCCATGTTGGTGGAACAGATAGTGGAGGCTTCACTAAGTGGCATTCCTTATGCTTATGATGCGGACGGTTCTCTGCACCTCAGGCTGTACCTAAGTTTTGAGCTCCCTCTACCACGCTGGTATCTTCAGTTTATATGAGGATGGCTTAGTTGCATTTGGCGTCACTAAGCATGGGCTCAATCTAGATCGCATTTCATCCAGACTCAAGGATCATTCCTCCCTATGGTATTCGTTTATGCTTGACCTGTCTGAGGGGTGGGGCACTCACTTGTATATTTAATAGGCCGTAGAACTCATTGCCCGAACGGCTTACAGACGATGTCACGATCTGCATTGAAGCACATGGCGCGTACCTCTTAGAAGAAGTTTAAGTTAGCGTTTTTTATTCTCACCATAATTGGTGTAATTTTCTAGACCGGTGGTTCTGTCGTTGTGAGGGATTACGGCGTAAACGATTACGCAATGATTCGTTTTGGACGTGGTGCAAAGCTGGCCGATCGGTTCTACGTGAGACAAGATGGTACTCGAGCGTACTACTTCTATATAGGTACTTCGCCAATGGTGTGATAGCTTTTTTGTTACCTTACTGTCAAAAGCACCGCTTGGAATAGTCGGATGTTTATAACGACGTCGATCGTCAGGTTCCCACTTATTATTCTTTGATCTCAAGTGCATGCAGTAGTAGTGGTGATTAGTCCGCACATCCGAGATGTCATTGGCGCGTCTCATTCCATTTTTCCCGCAGTCATAGAAAGCAGGAAAAGGGGAGGTGCTTCAAAGACGTCTCGAAGGTACAAAGGTACTATTGTATAAATGTAAGATCACGATCCATTGGCAGATCTGTTTCAGAAGAACTGGAGAGATTGTTTGAAGCGGATGGTTGGAAATGCGTTCTTAAGGAGTATCTGCATCGGCAAACGATCAATCATCAGAAGCAGCTGAATGTGCCAAGGATCTTTGTGCAGGCTCGATTTGTGAAACTGTAACTTCGTGTACACCTCTTTCGATCAGTGCCTTGCCTTCGCAGCTTACACGGACCCATGATTGTCTCAAGAAAGCCGCCTAAGGGACGCTGATGGAACCTGAACGATCTGTGATGACACGTCTGTGATCTGTGGAAGTAATTAATTTGTTTAAGTACATTGCTTCATGGACTAATAAAATCTGTGATCTCTTTTATTGTCTTCTTAACTATGCTTGTACAGCTACGAAAAAAAACTTGGAACAAGCCGAAAAAATCGGAATATTCTATCAAATTATAACACGATTTTCCTCGACTTCTGTACCGAAATTATGGATAATAAAGTATGCTTGGGAGAAGCGCTTCCAAATCAGTGAAAACGACCCTTGTAGCGAAAACCTACTTCTTATACAATACGGTAGTTTATTCAAGTGTTGAAGTTCACTTAACTAGTTCTGATCCTCAGTAATTTTGGCTTACTCACTCATTGCAGAACAGTCACCATTCGAATTGCCGTGAAGATATCGATGATGGTCGAATGTGCATGATATCGCGCGGGAAGTGAGCCCTATAAGGGCGAGTCTGAGCAGGGATGAGGCTCTGTTATCGCTGAGATCCTTAGGCAATATCCCCTACTACTCCAATAAGCAATATTCGGTACTACTGCCATACAAAGGTTGAGAAGATATTCCACTTATAGTTACTACACTAACTGTTGAAGGTTGGAAGTAACAAACTAATCGTTCTTCCGTCTTCAGAGAGCAATATGATC